GCGTCAGTTGCCAGGAAAGGTATGGGGTGTTTGTTCTGATTACCTGAGGCGAGCTGTCACGTCAGATTTTCCAACTCCACATTCTCGGGTACATGTTTAATGGCTCCCTTTTTAATAACCATACATCTCGGTACGTATGCAATCAGCCCTTCGTTTTGGATTGTAGGGCTGTCCAAANCTTCATTTGGTAGATAGGGCTGTTCAAAACTTGTATTTCCTTTCATTCTCTCTGATAAGGGCACTCCCCAAATATACCCAGTATATTGTATAATGTATTGGAAACTCATCTTGCAGTTAGCCATGATACTGAAGACATCAGATTGGCCCATCTTTTTGTTCCCCTTCCATTGATGGTGCATCAGGCCTCTTGACTTCTAGGTGGATGTTCAATGGCACTTTTTCGTAGCTTTTAAAATTCAGATCATTATATTTTCCTTTTTTGCTACTCTTGAAATATTCTTCAAGGTCTTCCCTTCCATTCTGGCTGGTCTGATCATACTGGTCGCCGAACTGCTGTAGCTTCAGACCTGTAGCATTAACCCTTATTCTGTGGGCCGCGCCATAGCTCAAGCGGTTAGTCGCTGGCTTCCCGATCCCGGGTCTGGTCAGGTGGGATTTGTGGTGGACAAAATGGCGCTGGGGCAGATTTTCTCCGAGTACTTCGGTTTCTCCTGTCGATCTTCATTCCACCAATTGTTCCACAATCACCCTCACCTATCATCTGGGGCTGGTACACTAGGCCAGAAGTGGCCGCAGTACATGGGACTTAGTCCCACCCCACTAGCATTGAAAAACCCTTATTCTGTTCTTTTCTTGGCTTGGTTATGATTTTGTGACTTATTTATATTTTGGTTTTTATTACTACTCTTTGTTTTTTTCGGTTTCTTACAGTGCCAAATTGTGCCATCAGTTATTCTTCTGACAACAATTCACGTCCTGTTTCTCCCGCAACCCTCTTCTTTGGTTTGTTAACCTTATTCTTTGCCTTTACGTAATCCATATCTTCCATCACCACTTCTTCCCCAGTTATGTCATCGATTTCTCATTCTTCCGTTGTATTTACCCCAATTTCTTGGCCACTTGTCCTTTCAGTGAGTCCACGCTTCGAAATACGGTATACGAAATATGGTATTTTTACCCGAAACCTGCACTTTAATTATTTTTCACTTTTATATACTAAAATTAAAAAATTTCAGCAAAAACAAAACTAATTATTATATTCAAACACCATAATAAGTCTTCTCAGTTTTTTTCCATTATTCGATGCTTATTAACTGCTTTGAACAATGGCTGTTCTTCTACGAAGTTTTCGCTTAAAGTTTCCTGGCAACGAATCTTAACACTGAAGTTTCTCGAGCTTCTGGACACGCGTCTTCACTTACGGCGACTTGTAGCCTAATCCGATGGGCACCCTCTCATGCCACTCGAAGGCCGCGCCCCCTGGAGCCGATAGGCAGTAAAATATGGTCACGTGTGTCTTGGGACTCGCAACCAAGAATTGCTGTCCTGGCGCAACCAGCAGCAATTTAGCAGTGAGTCAGTTGCCGGGAGGACATGTTTACTGACCCGGGACCAAGAATTACTCTACTTGCGAGGGCCAGCAGCAATTTAGCAGTTAACTGAGTTGCCGCAGAAACATGTTTACTGACCCCTTGCTTAGTAATGACCGTCATGGCTCCACTGTTCGGGATTTTACGCCTCTTACCACAGTATGTTCGAAACATTTTTCACCGATAATCATTTAGCGAGATACACGCTAATTACTCTTGAGATGTATGCACGAACACAAATATAAGTCTCTGTGTAAACTGGCCATTATTTGTTCCTTTTTTAACCCAAATTTGAATCTATAAACAAATGTTAGTGAAATGTACCAGTGTCTTATTTCATGAAAATACGTTTACCATTTCTTGAGGTGTTACGTATGGACACAAACTTCTAGATGGAAAGACATGGCAAAGCTAATAAGGTAAAACTGCCCCTGTAACAGTCCATGAAGGCCCATAGAGTTGTGAGAGGTCGAGGCTCCCACATTTTCTAGACAGTCGGCTCACAGATGGTGGTAAGGTTGTTAGCCTTACTCACTGGCCGCTGTTTACCCTTTACCAGGAAGATTCCCGGTACTCATTTCTGTTAAATGCTAAGTCGAACCCATGGCCATAGTGCAGCTAGAAGGATTAGGTCAATTAAAAAATCCAATGACATCATGACTCTAACCCGCAACCTTCCAGCTTGTAGCATAGTGCCTCAACCAACTACTATACCAAATGCATGTAGCAGAAATTTGTATTAGGGGACATGTATGTGCAGAGTTTTGGATGATGGTATATTAATACAAATATTGTCCTTTTGGACATTACCCACTGTTCTGTTTTTATTTAAAAGAAACGTTTTGGAGACTGGACTCTGACTCCAACCTCTGGTACAGCCTAGTCAGTTGTGCCCAATCGATAGAGGCAGTCCCTGTTTCTGGACAGCAGAACCAACATGAGGCAGGATATATAAACCAAACACAACGTAAACCATCAGTGGGAGTTAAAATAAACATTAGAAGACTCTGCTGTAATGGGGTCTTGTACCTATGGCCGTGCATAAAATCAGAACTTAACCCAACATGCATATGAAGAAGGCAGCAAAATATGTTGCAAAGAAGAGAAAGCCTAGCAGAATGAACCGCACAACACCTACAAGGAATCGGCCCACGTCTCTGGTAGCTCTGCTCTAGGCAGAATTTACTAGTTCAGTCACATCATGAACACTGTAAAAGCTGTCTCATATTGTAGCATGCTGTTGTTCTGTTGCTAGGCAGCACAGAAGTAAGGCTAAGGTTTGAGGTTCTCACTGTTGTCAGTATTTAGATTACTTTCTTTTGGGCTGTTGTACCATATAATTTGGTAGATAGGTACCAACATTTCAGAGGAACCACCTGCCTCCATCCTGTACCCCGTTCCTCCAAAATATTGGTATTGACATACCAAACTACGCCTCAATGTTGTAACCCAGAAGACGACAGTATGAATACAAAGCTTTTGTAAGGTTGAATGAGACATACGAAGGGGGACCCAAAAATAACCGGAAACGACCTGTTGCACGCGTATGCTTTGTAGTTACGAGTTGTGCTGCTAGGTGGTGTTAGCTGGCGGTCTCCCGCGACTGTTAGTGAGCTGGCGTCAGTCTGAGTTAAGTGGTTTGTCTGTGGTGCTCTGTTGTGTGCGTTCCTGTTTCAACCCTTTGGCGATTAGTGAGATGGCCGACCAGAAGGAACAAAGAGTGTGCGTGAAATTTTGCTTTCTGTTAGGGAAAACGCACTTCACTCTTCAAGTCGCGGAAAACATTCACGTGGTTTTCTCTTTGGTCATCTCCGAGCAAGCGAGGAACAAATTTTGCAGACACCCGTCTCATGTGCAAACCTTCGGTTAAAATTCGCTGGACCGTGCTCCATGAGATGTTCGTTTCCTCAGAAAGTTGGTCAATGGTCTTTCGACGATCTTCATCAATTGCACGTTTGATTTTGGCAATGTTTTCGTCATTTCTTCCTGTCGAACGACGCCCGGGGCATGGCATGTCTTCTGTTGACATGTTGCCAGATTTGAAACGGGAAAACCACTCGTAGACCTGTGATTTCCCCAAAGCATCATCATTAAAGGCTTGCCGAAGCATCCCAACAGTCTCGGCTGCAGTTTTCCCTAACAGAAAGCAAAATTTCACGCACACTCTTTGTTCCTTCTGGTCGGCCATCTCACTAATCGCCAAAGGGTTGAAACAGGAACGCACACAACAGAGCACCACAGACAAACCACTTAACTCAGACTGACGCCAGCTCACTAACAGTCGCGGGAGACCCCCAGCTAACACCACCTAGCAGCACAACTCGTAACTACAAAGCATGCATGCGCAACAGGTCGTTTCCGGTTATTTTTGGGTCCCCCCTCGTATATGGGGAACGGGGAATGAGTAGGCTGCTAACACACATGACTTCTTTTAAGGTACTATACTGGAATACACTGGGATGAACTATGGATAATCACAAACCATTAGTCTAGATAGTGAACACCATGGGTAAGATTCAAAGCAAGTACCTCCTAAATGCGAGTTACAACCATTAACACTCTGTCTACCTGTTCTGTCAGAAATGAGAAGCAATATTGAAATCAAATAATGTTTGGATTTATTATCATTTATTACCATATTTTTAGTGTAGTTTGCATACATCAGAATCGGTAATGAGTGGAAACGAAATTCACTCTTTGTATGCTAGAAGGAAATTTTTTTTTTTAATTTAGTTATTTAACTACACTGTCGGTATCAAGACTGTATTGTATAGTCCTGATGATAGGATGATCAATGAAAATGGAGCAGCTGGTAAATTGACAATTAGAAAAAATGGTTAGTTTTATACCAATGATATATGTAGTAATAAAGTAAAGTAAGTAAAGCTATCCCTGTAACAGGCCGTGGAGGCCCATAGGGTTGTGAGATGTTGAGGTTCCCACATTTTCTAGACAACTGGCTCATAGATGGTGGCAAGGTTGTCAGCCCTACGTGCCGGCCGCCCTTTAACCCCAAGAATATTCCAGTTACTCATTTCTTGTTAGAGGCTGAGTTGACCCCAGGGCCATAGTGTGGCTGGAGGGATTAGGTAAATTGAAAAAATTCAATGATCTCATCGGGACTTTCTGGTGCAGTGCCATGCCTAGTCATTGTTAGTTTATATGCTGAAAGAATTAAGGAACATGTGTCTCCAGAACAACATATCTTATGAAGAACTGGGTGACATAACAGGAGGACACCAAAAACACAGTGGTTAGAATGAATTTGAAGAAAGGAAATTGAAGAGAGAGTAGTCATGAGTAAGAGAATAAAGAACTTAACAAATGTGACGAAACCTCAGGAGGGTGTAGTAATTTAGTTCCTTTACAGTTGTACTCGGAGATCCTGTTGAACCAGACAACTAACTAATAGTTTCTAGCAAGACAATTTGTGTGTTTGTTTGTGTGTAGTGGGTTACGACCATTTGTGGAACCCCCATCAGTGGAAGACTCCCCTGAAAACTCAGCTGGGCAGGAGCAAGCATCCTCAAGTGTCAACAAGAGCAGAGTGTCTGGGACAGCAGCTCCGCCACCAGTCCGGGATGATGGTTCCCTCGATTATGATGGTATTCTATTTTGCAGTTGACTGTATACCTGTGCAAATGAAAACTGGATAAAATTTTGTGTGAAATTTATAATAGTGAGATATCTTGCATTGAACTACTTCATATTATCCCAATTTTAAAACTAGGTACAATATTGAATTCGTAATACTACTGTGACAGGCCTTCATTATATTCTGACATGTTAGTGACTAGACATGGGGTTTGGATTGGTAATTAGATTTATTCAACTCTTGAAACCTTAACTACATGTAATTATAGTGCTATCACTAATTCACACACTGTACAATTCACTACAGCATGCACTAAATCTTCTCAGTCTGCTGTCTTCATCGGTTCTCGCCTGATAACAGCTCCCAGTACTGTAGTTTCCTCAGTTTCTGGGTTCACATCCTTACTGGCCGGCAACTATTACACAACTAACCCATGATGGTAAATCTAAATGTCTTCACCTTCTCAGCTGCTAAAAGTTCCAGTTCAGCTCCCGTTGGATGCCCTCGGGGTGAACTCGACACAAAACATCAGCTCCAACGGCTCTTTTCTTGTTGCATGTGTAACTGTTGCTGTGATCATGTGATGCTTATTGACTGATGCATAGCAACAAATGCTCACTTAATAGCGCCATTGCTTGTTTACCATGTCATAACTTATCAATGGATGATCCTTCTCGCTTCAGAATTCTGGCTCTGAACCCTCATGTCACATTTCTCCCTTTGAGCAGCCTGTAGATGTACTGCTATTTTCTTCTTTTCTGGTCTTTGGAGGCAAAACTTTTGAGGGTAACTGGTGCTCCTATATATCTTTGGCTCTAAAACTGTATGTAGTCTCTTCTTCCATTTTGGAATGGGCCAGCCTCTCCACAGTGTCCTGACCCTCATTCTCTGCCGTCTTATGGAAGGCCAGATTATTCTCTTTGCAATCTCCATCCCTAAGGTCCTTCTAAGGGCATCATTGACAGTTCTGCTTCCCAGAAGTAAGTGCTGTTACAGGCCTCAGTTCCTTATGATGCTGTTGCATTCATGTCATGACATTGTCTCCTCTTGAGCTTTGGTCCACTGTATTTGAAAGTGCATCATTTGATAAAGCAACAACGAAAATTACAAAACATTATAAAGAAACAGAAATAAAAGTAGTGTTCCAAACATGAGACATGATACAAAACATAGGAAAACCCCATTCACAAATAGAGAGCTATGAAAAAATTGACATTTACCAAATGAGATGCCTGGATTGCCCACTAAAATATATAGAACAGACAGGCCTAGCATTTTGCACAAGATATGAAGAATGTATACAGGCAATTAGGAATAATAACGGTAATTCAGAATGTTCAAACCACATACTGGACACAGGACACACATATTGGAGTATAACTGACACAATAAACATCATAAAAACAGAGAAAAAACGAAAACATCTAATTATATTGGAAAAATACTGCATACATAAGATCAGTGAAAACAGACTACATATGAATGATGCATATATTGACATTTATAATCCAGTATTTGAAACACTACAATGATTAAACACTAGATAGCAGCACACACACCTTATATAAAACAGAATGACCCAGATTAGCAGACATTGAGAATAGTTACACAGGATACAAGAAGAGGAACTACCCATCACAGTAGGGTAAGTACATATACATGTATACCATAAGAAAGACCAACACATGTCATATACAAAATACTAATACACGTTATAAACACAGGGGCACCGACAAGGGCATATCCAAAAAAAATTGAAGTTACGGACAGAAGCACAGCAGTTTCATCAGCAGTTTTAGGCACCTGATGATGACCAGTGTTGGTTGAAACATGTAGTATGTGTACCCCAGTGATGTAAAAGAGATTTTAATGTTTAAAATTTTTGAAGCTAGTATGAAGGGCGTTCCATATATAATGCCTCATATTTTTTTCTGTTTTAATATGTAACGTCTAAGCTGGATGTTGGTGGTGTTGTAGTAAAGGTTGAACTTTCCCGCCAATGTACTGTTAGTTTGGTTGTCGTGAGACAGATAGCGACAGCAGAGCAGTCTACCAAAATGGCGTCTGACATAGAAGTGTGTACAAAACAGAGATGTGTTACTGAATTTCTCACTGCCGAACAAATTGCACCTGGAGACAATACAGTGGATGTCAGCACAGTGAGGCGGTAAGTAGTGTGTTTCAACAGTGGCGAAAGTGAAGTGCACAACAAGCCACGCCCTGGGCATCACTGCTCAGCTGCCACTCCTCACCATGAACAGCGCCTCGATCCGCTCATCTGTACAGATCGGCAGATAACGACCAGGAAACTGTGTGCACGGCTTAATATCGGCTGTAATGCATTGGAAATGATGTTGGGGAAGCTGGATTATAGCAAAGTTTGTTCCAGGTGGGTCCCGCGGATGCTTACACAGGACCACAGAACTCATCGACTGGAAGTCTGTCAGGACCTGTTACACCAGTTTGAGGCTGAAGGTGACAAGTTTCCATACAGCATTGTCACCGGAGATGAGACGTGGTGTCACCACTACGAACCGGAATCCAAAAGACAGTCCATGGAGTGGCGACATCCGGATTTCCCAAGAAAAAAGAAGTTCAAGACACAGCCATCAGCAGAGAAAGTGATGTGCACGGTCTTTTGGGAGAGGCAGGGTGTGATTTTGTTGAATTTCCTGGAGCCTGGTGAGACTATCAATTCTGAACACTACAAGACGCCACTGACTAAGCTGAAAGCCCGCATTTCCTGAGTCAAACCAGAGAAGCAGACAACCTTTCGCTTGCAACACGATAATGCTAGACCCCATACCAGTTTGGCTGGACTGTCCTACCACATCCACCTTATAGCCCTGATTTAGCACCTCCAGACTTCCATGTCTTTGGGCCTATGAAAGATGGACTACATGGGCAACATTTTCCAGACAATGATGCTGTCATTGCAGCTGTAAGAAAGTGCCTAGCCTCTGCTGGCGCAGACTTTTACAAGCGAGGCATACAGGTTCTTGTTCATCGCTGGCAAAAGTGCGTAATGAATGGTGGTGATTATATGGAAAAATAACTGTAAGTAGATGAAATCTTGCTCTATTTAACTGCGTTATTATGCTTTCTATATCTATTGTAGTTTTAATTAAAAAAAATAGGAGGCATTATATATGGAATGCTCCTTATAACTAATAGGAATAATAAGTGATGTGCAACAGAATGCTATGATAAAATATTTGAGCAGTGTGTTTAATCAAGCTTTTGCCTTGCCCATAAATTATCTAAAGTCATTCCCCTAGCAGTCTGTGGTGTACTGCTGAAACTTTTGCTGTTACCTTGACACTTGCTTTTGTTTTCTCTTTTCAGCCCTTTATGAAGATGAGTCTGACCATGAATGTAAGTAAAACAGTTTGTTTCTAATGTAGAATATTGTAAAGAAATGGAATTTGGCTAACTTGACAAAAGGTTCAGCCTGGATGCCTTAAAAGTTTGACCCCCAATGTGGGACTGTCTTGTTACCTAGCAGTATTTAAGAAAATAGAATTGAACTGTTTTCAAAAAGTGCATAACTCTGTACAGTAAAAAGCAGCTAAAAGTTTGATGTATGTAGTTATTAAAAATTAGAAGTTTTTAGCCTGCTATCCTTATTTTTAAAAAATAAAAGTAGGCTTAAGGGATCACCATTCTGTCTGTATGTCTGTGGATTACTCCCTGTCAAAGGGCCACGCCATAGCTCAAGTGGTAGTCACTGGCTTCCCACCGCGGCGGCCCGGGTTCGATCCCGAGTCTGGTCAAGTGGGATTTGTGGTGGACAAAGTGGCGCTGGGGCAGGTTTTCTCTGAGTGCTTCGGTTTCCCCTGCCAATTTGCATTCCACCAGTTGCTCCACAATGACCCTCACCAATCATCTGGGGCTGGTACAATAGGCCAGAAGTGGCCGCAGTACAAGGGACTTAGTGCCACCCCACTAGCAATAAAAAAAAGTACCCCCTGTCAACTTCTGAATGTAAGAGCCAACCAATCATACCAACCTCATATGTTTTTCATGGCACCTGAGCCCACCTCAATGGCATACTTTATAAATTTCACCCGTCAGTCAGTGTGTCTGTATGTGTGTCCCCCTATAGTTGCTAGGAAGCAGCTTGGTAAAATGTTACTCTAGCAACAAATACACTTGCAACAATAGAAGAATTGTAAGATTTGAGGTTTTCACAGCAGTGACTATGAAGAAAGGAGTCTTCTGGGATTTGACACCGTATATATGTGGTGTTAACCGACGTTTCGGAGGAACGTATCGCCTCCATCTTCAGGGTAGAAGGAAAAATATAAGAAATCCACAGGCGAAGAGACTGTGAGAACCGGTAAAAGCAGATTGCTGATTTCTTATATTTTTCCTTCTACCCTGAAGATGGAGGCGATACGTTCCTCCGAAACGTCGGTTAACACCACATATACACGGTGCAAAATCCCAGAAGACTGCTTTCTTAATAGAAGAATTGTTGGATGTATCATTTTCTGTGCTGTGCATGTCATATCAAAGGAAAGTAGGTGATTAGTTCTTCCCAGAACTTCTTGTTTCTCATATAAGGAACCAAGTCAATAAGGAGTAAAGACCTGTTGTGTTTCTGATTTAACAGTAGATGGCTTGGAGAATCATGGATCAGTGGTATCTCACCTAATCTCTCAGGTTAAAATTGGGATGGACCTTACAAAAGTGGTTCTCCCAACCTTCATCTTGGAAAGGCGATCCCTACTAGAAATGTATGCTGATTACTTTGCCCATCCAGACATTTTTATAAGGTAAGTAACCTCAAATACTTATTTGAAAATGCATCGGAATTTATTAACAGATTTATAGAGCCCAAAATTCTGAACTTCAGAATTGGATTAGCCTTGTTCGGGGGAACACAGTAGTGTAGTTGGTTGAGGTACTATGCTACAAGCCGAAAGGTTGTGGGTACAAGTCCCAATTATGTCATTGGATTTTTTTTTCAGTTTACCTAATCCTTCCAGCCCCATTATGGCCCTGGGGTCGACTTGGCCTCTAACAGAAATGAGTAGCAGGAATCTTCCTGGGGCGTAAAGAGTGGCCGGCTTGTAAGGCTGAAAACCTCACCGCCATCTATGAGCTGATTATCTAGAAAAAGTGGGAACCTCAACATCTCACAACCCTATGGGCCTCCATGGCCTGTTACAGGGATACCTTTACTTTTTTTTAGCCTTATTCTCAAAGAGTCTTCAGCTCCCATTCAAAGAGTTCAGCCACGTCATCCTCAGAACAAAATTACACCTCTGACAACTGATTAACAGTTGCACTTTTCAAACAGCCTTTTCTCTCAAAGAATAATCAGATATCATTTCTAGGATAAACCAGTTGTTCCTCCTCCCTCTTTTCCTAAAATTATTGTAAATTTAAATGTTATCATCATGCCAGGAGTGAGCCTGAACAATTTAGTCAGTAAAGTGACTGGCTATGAGCAGAATGACTGGGCTTATTTGTCAGTGGGGAAAAATTTTTCTCTTCACTGTCACATCCACAATGGCACTGAGGCTTACCCAGCCTCTGATCCAAAGGGTGTGGGAAGTGAAGTGACCAGGGCATAAAACTGACACCTTTGTTTAATGCTGGGTGTAAGAATGTATGGTGTTTTACCTCCACTCCCACCTATATACCTACTCAACATGTTTCTTAGACACACAGAGAACTTTACGTCCTTTGTATCATCCTCTGGATATAGCACATTATCAAAATCTTACTTATGGAGCTGAGCCTTTCTTGAGGAGAAGCCAAATCTCAAGAATTTCCCAGCATTTTATGGAACCCGAAGGTTCATTACTGTGTTCACAAGAGCCCTCCACTGGTCCCTATCCTGAGTCAGATCAGTCCAATCCATACCATCCCATCCTCTCTCTCTAAGATCTATTTTAATATTGTCCACTCACCTATGCCTTGGGCTTCCCAGTGGTCTCTTTCCTTCTGGCTTTCCTACCAATATCCTATATGCATTGCTCTTCTCTACCACTTGTGCTACATGCCCTATCAAAGAATAACACTAAAAAAAATAACAGTTTTCTGTTAAAGATAGAATTCTGAACTTGTCTGTGTAGAAACCTTCAGAGCACAGTGGTCAAGGGAACACTTATTCATAATATATGATATAGATGGCTGGTACAAAATGTATTATGTGGAGCTGTATTCCTGTATGCCTTTATCATGCTGTATCTTCTGCTTCAGTGTGTAAATAAAAGAGTAAAGGTATCCCTGTAACGGGCTGTGGAGGCCCATAGGGTTGTGAGATGTTGAGGTTTCCACGTTTTCTAGAAAGTCAGCTCATAGATGGCAGCAAGGTCGTCAGCCTTACGCGCCGGCTGTGCTTTACTCCCAAGAATATTCCTTATACTCATTTCTGTTAGAGGCTGAGTTGAACCTAGGGCCATAGTGCTGCTGGAAGGATTAGGTCACTTGAAAAAAAAATCCAGTGACCTCATCAGGACTTGAAGCCGGAACCTTCCGGCTTGTAGCATAGTGCCTCAACTGCATGCTCCCCACTGCAGTCTGTATAATTGAGTTCGTTCTAAAAGAGACAACTATTGAAATCATGAAGTGACCCTGAAGATGAAAGCATCATGTGTCGTAAAAATGTTGATAGCCATGATGCCTTACGTACTTAGAAGACAGCACAGTGAATAGTAATTACATGAAATTGTCAATGTGAACTTTGCCTCTTATGGTAATGTGATTTTCTGCCCACCTCAGTATTGCAGACTTCCCAGATCCCAAAGAGCGCATGGTGCAAGTAGTACGGTGGTACATGTCAGCATATCATGCTGGAAGGAAGAGTACTGTTGCCAAGAAGCCGTATAACCCTATCATTGGTGAAATTTTTAAATGCCATTGGGATATTCCTGGCATTCCTGCAGATTCATCCTCATTAGTAACAGATGGACCTGTACCCTGGTGTACAAGAAATCAACTCACATTTGTAGCTGAGCAAGTCTCTCACCATCCACCAAGTAAGTAGGTTAGTTTTTTTTAAAAAGCTTATGTCACACTATTATGCATGTTGGAGTACATTATGCAATGTACAGTACTTACATCACTGGCTTTGAAGTTCACTAATTGCCAGTGAAAATCTTGTAGATTAACAGTATAAGAATAAAGTATGTACAGGGAGGTTCTTACCTTTGTTGACTGGTTCACAGGTTTGCGCTTCACTGCAACAAGTACACCACCATTGGCTGTGAGGCTCATATGAATGTTGCTAATGAATCAGTATACCTGATGGCTGATAACATTTGGAATTGAGGGAAGTTTGTGGACTATTTGACAGCATTATATTTCATGACAAGCATTGGAGTTCATGCATGGGAATCTTTTTACGATATGTCAGCAGTGGGCGGCAGTTATCAGCTCCATTAGCTGTTTGTACTCAGTTACAATCAGTGAGAAGTGTGTTCGCTCATTGTGCGGTATGCTTTAGAGCAATATGTATTTCTGTACGACAGATGAAATACAGATCTGCTAGAAAGTGTCCGTGAAAATTTTGATGTAAATTTTGTAATTAAATGGTTGCAGCTGACAAACAAAGATCTTTAGTTACAAAGTGAATATAATGTGTCTTGTTAAGGTTTAAAGCTAATTGATTCACTTTGAACCATTTATTTAAAGTTTCAAAAATTCTATGCATGTTGTTATTTAAATCTGTTAGATTAGGCTGAGCAAATAAAATACTAGTATCACCCACAAAAAGTACAGGTACAGAAGTTTTGTTTATTATTTTAGGTAAGTCGTTCATATAAATAAGAAAGAGTAGAGGTCCCAGAACACTCCCCTGAGGGACTAAAGAACTAAAAGAAAATATTCATAAGGAAATTGCAAATATTCCTGCAGAAGAGCTTGAAGGGGTAAATCAGAACGTCTTCTGCTTGTACAAGGAATGTCTGCATGTAGAGGGACAGCATTATCAATGCCTGTTGTGATCTGTGAATTGTAACTACTTCATTCCAACTGTTACTGGCCAACAGGCATATCAGTTCATGGATAAAATTCATATGCACCTAGAAGCCAGCAGTGCACTGGTCACTTTGAAGTGCAGAGCCATGAACCGGTCAACAAAGTTAAGAACCTTCCTGTATTTGTACATGCAGCTGATTAACTAATTTTTCTTCACTGAGAGTGTGTTTGTTAGGAGCTTACTTATAAGAAAATAGTTTTTGTTTTATTAATTTTTATTTTAAATCAAGTTTCAGCCTTCTATGCAGAACACTATAACAAACGCATCAGTTTTTGTGCTCATGTATGGACAAAATCGAAGTTTCTAGGCCTATCAATTGGTGTGCATAATATTGGTCAGGGCTGCATCTCTGTGCTGGACTATGATGAAGAGTACATTGTCACATTTCCCAACGGTTATGGCAGGTAATACTTTTTCATTGACTGCAATTATTATGAATTTATTCCCACATATAATGCAGTATAGCCTCATATCTTATGGTCTACTGATGAAACATAGAGTTTAGTAAGGGTATGATTAAATTAGAATTCAAGTACTGTATAACATCTGAATGGAGTACATAAAACACAACAAGCTTAATTAAAATGTATACATATGAGAATTCAGAGAGGTAAAACGTTTCATAATGCATCAGATAAATATTGTGACATATCTGCTGAAACCAAAAGAGCAGAACAAGAGAAGATGCCTGATGCTAGGCACTGCCTCTGTAAACACATTTCCACAGCAACCAAACCACGCAACATGCAACATGTTCTCTGCTGGGTCCATACAGGGGCTACGTCAAGAGAACTGAAACCTATAGTTGGACAGGCGAGTTATCATTCAGAAATTAGTGCTAGCCTGTGACAATGAGTGGTAGCCAGTGGTGCCCAGACACAGCTAGGAGTTAGTGGCCAGGTGTTGCAGGTATCAGGAGCAGTGAGACAGTCAGTAGCCACTAAGGACATGAACACAAAAGCTGAGGGATCTGCAGTGTTGGTAGCTGTTAACAGGCAGCGCCTAGCGAAGACAAAATGAGAACATTTAGTGCATAGGTGTAGTGAATTGTAATGTGTGTAAATGAGTGAAACTGTTATAATTACTTCCAGTTACAGTGCCCAGTAAATCAAATTACCAGTCCAAAACCCATGTCTAGTTAATAACATGTGACAGTATTATACGAGGGTTGGAACTTTAATAGTGGCAACACTGCTGTAGAGACGCGATGAAACGGAACCAAATAATGTCGCTTATACCACACATTACATACCTAACTTACCTCAGAGCAAATGGACTCTCCATTCCCAAATCACGCGCATGCACAGTGATGAGAAAAGCAGAGCCTCGTGTTAGTTGGCGGTCTAATGTATTGTTGTCACGATGTTTTCGAAACAGGAACAACGGAGTTGGATAAAGATTGAATGTGCCAGCGGCCATACAGCATGACAGTGTCATAAAGGTCTTCAAGAGGCTTGCAGGGAATCTGCATTGCCTTACAGAACAGTGTCAAGGTGGGTAAAAGCCTTCAACGAGGGGCGCCAAAATGTGGCAGACTTGCATCAGCCAGGTCCTAGTGTCAGTGGAAAAGTGCATACTCTTTCTGCATTACTGGAGAGTGATTGATGCCATACGATTTGTGAGCTGGTCCGAGAGACAGCATTAGCACATACGACTGTGCTTCACATTCTGAAGGAATGCCTGGGAAAGAGAAAAATTGCATCATGATGGGTTCCGCATCATTTGACGGAAATGCAGAAATGGCTATGATACGATGCTGCTCGTAACGACTTGGAGCGCTATGAGCGTGAAGGAGAGGCTTTCTTACGCCATATCATTACGCTGGATGAGATATAGGCCAAATCGTATGAGCCACAAATGAAATGCCAATCGAACGAATGGTGTCATTATGGGTCACCACAAAAATCAAAAGTTCATCAGAACCCCAGCAATGTGAATGTTATGGTGATTCTTGTGTATGACTGTGATCGTGTTATCCTAACGCATACCATTCCCTGACAGCAGACTGTCAGTGCGCAGTATTACTGTTAATTTTTGGAACACAACCTGCAACCAGCTTTGAGAAAGAAGCGGCGACACTTTCTGCAGAACCCACCCATCATTTTGCAGGACAGTGCTTGGCTGCATGCAGCGTAAGCTGTGGCTGATTTGTTCGATCGATGGGGCTGGGAAGTGCTGTACCATCCACCATACTCCCCGGACTTAAGCCCTTGTGACTTTGACTTGATTCCTAAGATGAAGGAACCACTTCGTGGCATTTGCTTCATAACTGCTCCAGAGATTCTTCAGGCAGCAGACCGCTCCATTCGAACTATCAGCACAACAGGCGCTGCTAAAGGTATCCTACGACTTCCACATCGCTGGAAACGGTTTGTACACAGTGCTGGTGACTACATTGAAGGACAGTAAAACTTCGAAACATGCATTTATTTTGTATCAGTTGTAAATAAATAGTTGCCGCTATTGAAGTTCTAACCCTCGTATGTGTATATTTGAGGGCCTGTAAAAATTTTGTACACAGTTATCCAATTTTTAAAGATTTGCTGAAGTTCAGTTTGAGCAGGGGTTATAACGAAAATCACATTTGCTTGACAGCTTTTAGTGTAGACCCAATACCATGATTTATTGAATTCTGTTGAATAAATTTTGATGTGAAATATAGGGACATGTTTGTTTCATGCACTTCATACAAAGAATGGATAAAAATCATCAAATGTGTTCAGAATGGTTTTGAGTGTAGTGATCTTCTGAAATTCTAAAGGCAGAAAAGTGATCATGGTGTGAACTTTATTCACTGAATGAGATTTGAGGTTTTCAGGAATATGATGTCATGTAGTATGATAGACATTTCAGTGGAATGTGTTACCGCCATCTTCAAATGCCAAGTCAGCCAGGCCAGAGTGTGGAAATGGCCATTCAGAACCCAGGATGTGGAATAGAAAACAAGAGTCCAGACAAGTCAATGGATAACGAAGGCCAGTTGGTCCTGGGCAAGGAGCACGTTCTAGTAAGGAAAGTGAGAAGGGTTACATACCTGTTTCAGCAAGAAATCACAAAAGGTGCACTTGTCCCAGCAAGGAAAGCAAGAAAGTTCACCTTTTCTGGCAAGGAAAGTGAAAGTGTGCATATGTACCAACAAGAAGAGTGAGAACGTAGAACTGTTGGGTGAGAAAGTGAAGATGTGTGCGTGATCTGGAATAGAGAATAAAATGTGAACCTGTTCCAGTAAGGAAAGAAGAAGGTACGAAATGAAATGAAAGTGTGTATCTATTTCAGGAAGAAACGTGAAAATGCATGCCTGTTTCAGAAAGGAAAGTTTCAGCAATGATAGTGAGATGATGCAATAATTTCAGTGAGCAAAGTGAGAAAATGAACCTGTCCCAGTAACAAAAATGAGACTATGCACATCTGCAAGCAAGGAAAGTGAGAAGGTCCAACTGTTTTAGTGAACAAAGTGGAAAGTTGCACGTGTTCCAATAGGGGAAGTGAGGAGGTGAACTTCCGCCAACAGGGTAGGTGAAAATGCACACCATTTTCAGGAAGGAAACTGAGCAGGTGTGTATGTTCCAGCAAGGAAAGTGAGGTGTACCTGTTTTGGCAAGTAAAGTGAAAATTTGTACCTGTTCTAGCAAGGAAAGTGACAAGATGCACCTGTTTCAGAAAGGAAAATGAGATGGTTTACTTGCATGGACATGGAATGTTGGTACTTATGTGCCATACAATGTATTGTCATATTCCATAAGACTATATTCTTTATATTTACTTTGACTACAAGATTCATCTGGTAAGAGCTATACCAATTCAATGGCAATATTTCGTTACAGATCCATCCTTACTGTTCCTTGGATTGAATTAGGTGGTTCTGTGACTATCACATGTGCCAAAACTGGTTATAGTGCTAATGTTGAGTTCCTAACGAAACCTTTTTATGGTGGAAAGAAAAACCGCATTACGACTGAAGTTTTCCAGCCTAATGACAAAAAGCCTTTCCTCTCAATAACTGGAGAGTGGAATGGACGAATGGAAGCGAAATGGGCAGATGGGGTGAGTATATGTGAAATTAAGTATCAAATCAGTTCTTAATACATTCAGAAGGGCTTATTGCTTTAATGGATCTTTCACTAGCAGTTAAGAGCGGGAATCTGAGTATTTTCCTTTGCCAGATCTTGAAATTATAACCGCCCACAAGCCTAAATGGTATTTTATTGAGAGTTATTCTCAATATTTTATAATAATTACGCAGAGTGTGACATAGCCCACCTCTTGCACACACGAAGCTGCCTGTTTCACAGATGGATCACACACACAAAAACTCCAGATGGCCCCCTGGTGATTTAGTTAAGCAGTTCATGGAATTTTGGTTCCAGAGTCGCTCGGCGACTCACTTTGGAAATTTGACTCTTGACAGTTTCTGCTAGTCTTAAGTCACACGAAGGCGTGCCAGGAGGGGATGCTATGGCCAGCATACCTCATTACCTTTCAAAAGTTACGTTAGGTCATTAAAGAAAAAATTTGCCTCTAGAGTAAAAATGATTGGAAGTAGCGGATTCAGAGTCAACTCCCTTATTTCAAATCTGACCAATCCTCAAAAGTCGAGGGTGTGACTTGGGAACTTCGCGGAAACTGGAAAGGCTCACATCTCTTCAGAAAAACAGTCTTCAAAAACTCATCAAACAGGCATCAAATAGTCTTCAAATACTCTTCAAACAAACAAAAAAAAAAGTGGTGGTCCAGCTAGGAACAGTTGTTAGTGTTTGGTAGTTCGCCTTTGAAAGAAGTGCCAGCACCTGGTGAATTGTGTATGTGAACTGTGTTTTGTTTTACACTCTCTTCACAAAGAATATACTCAAATTATACTCACATGCAAAGTGCAAGTGTATCATTAGACGCTTCTGCCTCCCTGTCTGAGCGAGGCTCGTATAAAAGATCCTGAGATAGTCTCATCTCTACCTTCTGAGGTAAAGAAAATTCACCTGTGTTCCTTTGACAAAGAAGTATCAGCAACAGCCGCTGCAGGTGGAAGCCAGGTGAAGGAACAGGAAGGTAAAGGGGGACGGCGACAACAAGAAGGTGACACCCAACGTAAAGGGCACTATACAGAGAGAGCGGTTACAGAATGGTAGTGAGAAAAATATTTTGGCCTAAGAAGAAGGAATTAAGTAGACAGTTAAAGATGTAACATAACAGGCAATTTTGCAATTTGTTTAGATCACCTACTATTCTATCTGTCTGTGGCTGTACAGCCCTTGTGGACTTTGGCTACTCTTTCAGTTTTTCAGTCTATACACAGTTGATAGGACTCCTTGGATGGGGGATCAGGCTGTTGCAAGGCCACTACCTACACACAGAACAACACAAGCAGAAAATAAATGCACACACACATCCGCGCCTCGAGTGGGATTCAAACCCACGATCCAAATGTTCAAGGGCAAAGACGGTTCATGCCTTAGATCCTATGATTGGCACCTGGTATTCATAGAAGGGTGAAATATGAGAGACTGCAATCGACTTGGCATTGCTCTGGAAATAAACGTAGAGAAAACTAAGCTTATGTCGATGTCACATCATCAGGTGCAGGACAAAATCGTAACATAAAGACAGCTAATAGATCCTTTGAAAATGTGGCAAAGTTCAGATATGTGGGAAAAACAATGACAGTTTGAAATCTTATTCGTGAGGAATGTAAGATTGGATTAAATTCAGATAATGCTTGCTACAATTCAGTTCAGAACCTTATATCTTTTCACCTCCTGCCTAAAAATCTCGAGATTAAAATATACAAAATTATGATCTTGCTTATAGTTCTGTATAGTCTCTGACACTGGGGGAAGAATGTAGATTAAGGGTGACTACATGGTGCTGAGGAGAATATTTGGACCCAAGAGGGTTGATATAAGAGGGGGCTGGAGAAAATTGCATAATGAGGAGCTTCATAACTTTCACTCTTCACCAGATGTCATTAGAATGATAAAGTTCATGAGCATGAGATGGGCAGGGCATATAGTGCATATGGGAGAGAAGAGGTAAAGATACAGGAAAACCAGAAGGAAAGAAACCACTGGGAAGACCTAGATGTAGATGGGAGGATAATATTAAAATGGATGTTTGAGAAATAGGATGGGGGTTTGGACTGGATTCTTTTGGCTCAGGATAGAGGCCAGACTGTTGTGAACATAGTAATGAACCTTTGGATTCCATAAAATTTTGAAAAATTCTTGGTTTCTTGAGAAGGACTTGGCTACATGGAATTAATTAGCCACTTGGAAAACTACTACCTGGATGTCTAGGAGGAGATGTAAGGATAACATTAATATGGAGCTTAGAGAAGTAGGTTTTGGGGGTGAGAAGTGAATGGAGTTGGCTTAGAATGTTTAATGGCAGTGTTTGGTATTAGTGGTATTGAAGTTCTGGATTCTGTTAGTAGAGAGTGTGTTACTTAGATATTATTATATGATTGCTTTTTAGTAAACAGACATGTTATGCATTGTGATGAACAAAAAATCATATCAGTCGGATAGGCAAGGAGACCGAACTGATAAGGAACACAAAATATTCTTTTGCCTGCCTACCATATAATCTGGACTATTGGTAATGTTACTAATAAACACAGAAAAACATTTAGAAACTTAGAACAGGTTTCTTTGCACAAAGGTTTCACATTTTACAAGATATCACTCTCTGGAACACTATTAGACATTTGCAAGATGAGCACAGACAATTTGAACAAAATATGTAGATCATTTCTACAGAGTGAACAGGTGATGTTGGTATGTGTTAGATTAGTATCTCCAAATAATCTGTGACAACTGGATATCTGTATGTGCAGAGGACAGAACCATTTGTGGATGTAAATAAGATCCACGTTGTAAAGAAGAAAGTGCGTCCTATTGCTGAACAGACTGAAAATGAGTCACGAAAACTTTGGAAAGAAGTTACTGCTGGCCTCAGGTAAGAAACTGAATGAATTGCTAAAAGTGGATTCACTAAAGATTTGTAGTAAGGCAGATTCATTGTGACATGGTTATGTTTAACATTATACATTGTCCTATCTAGTCTCTTGGTTAGCTTATTGGATTCAAAGGGTCCCAGTTTTAATCCCTGTCACTGTCACTAAAAAATTAAATAGAAAACAAGTATACTTCCTCAGGTTAATGAGATGATGATGGTTTGGAAATAACAAGAAATGTATGTAGAACTCTAGCAGGGAAGTGGTCCAGGTTTATAAACAAGCCAAGTTTTTCCTTAACAGTTTTGAATGTTAGAGTTGTATTATCAAAAGCTCTTTAGTTAGGCAGTCGGTCTGTCTGTCAATGTAATGATAGAGAAGAATGTAGTAGATCCAACTCCAGAAACATATTAATTCTATGATTTTGAGCTTAAATTGCCTTTAGAACCACTATGTTTATCAGTAAAAATCCATGTTTCTGATCACACTAATTTTATATCTTTATTGCAAAACAACGGACATTAAGTCGTTTGATTTGTCCTGTTAGCTCTCGGCGTATTTGTAAATGTGTAATCCAGAAAAAAAGTGAACTTGCAGTTCATATCTGTTCATAAATTTACTTTATTTTTCATGTGTCTTGCTAACCTGCTGACAGGAAACAAGGAGCCACATGAGGATGCTATGGCATAAATTAATTAATGCATTTAATGATGAAATGTACAGATTAATCTTATACATAGCCCAGTCAAAAAGTTCCCGGAATTCCCCTGCAGACAGAGAACAAGCGATAAGATAGTGCGCACACTGTTGTGGTGGGAAGCTCAGCATGTCTGCTCGCAGGCGCAACAGGTCTGGACAGGTTTCAGTGTGCAGTGTCATTACTGTTCCATTTCAATCAGATGTGAGTGTTGGTTATTCGGCACATTGTCGCAGTTCGAACAACGTGTGAACATCAGGTTCATGTGCAAATTGGAAAAATCTGATTCAGAGATGCTATCTGCCATGCAGCAAGTTTGCGGTGATACTGCACTATAGAAATCCACAGTTTACAACTGGTTTTCTTGGTTTAAGAATGGGCAGGAGATGTTAGAGGATGACCAGCGCAGTGGGAGGCCTTCAACATCCAGAACCAAAGAAATGATTGGAAAAGTGTGACAACTGATTCGATGTGATCGAAGAATGACCATTGCGGAGTTGGAGCAAGAAGTTGGTACTGTTACTGGCCATTTCTATGTGCAAGTTTTGCAGAGGTTGCACGATGCGGTTCGGAGGAAGCGGCGTGACAAGTGGCAGGGACAGTGGTTTTTGCATCACGATAATGCACTGAGCCACACTTTGCTTGTTGTGCAGCAATTCCTTGCCGAGAAAAACATTCCTATCATCACTCAGCCACCGTACTCTCTGGATCTCACTCCGAGTGACTTTTGGCTGTTCTCTACTCTGAAAATGGGCCTCAGTGGGACATATTTCCCAACCATGGAGGACATCAAATTGAATGTGACAGCTGAGCTCCGGAAGATAGCAAAAGAAGCCTTCCACCTATGCTTCCAACCATGGCAGGATCGATGGAGCAAGTGTGTGTACGTGCAAGGGTCCTACTTTGAAGGTGATTAGGTAAGCGTTGCCATATGTCCTACCATTTGAGTGCTGTACCACCATTCCGAGAACTTTTTGACTGCCCCTCGTATATATATCATATATATATGTATATACAGGGTGTCCCAGGAGGAATGTGCCAGACTTTGGGGGGGGGGTGTTTCTTATGTTAAAGTATGCTGATATAATCCAAAATACCTATGTCCAAAGTTGAACGGTTACGGAGATAATGGCCCAAGAAAAGTGTGGTCTTCTGGCTGGTCCACGCACTGTACCTGTCAGCTGACAAATCTTATCTATGTTTGTCCTTGAGTGTGGTGATTCACACTAGCCATAAGCTTATGCGCTACCTTCAGGGTACGTTGCAGCCGCATCGTGAATGGTTGGTAAATTAGTTGTGCGGAGTTGCTGAAATGCCTTTTGTGTTTTCACACGTGGAATATTGTGATATGCATTTTGTGCATGGATTTTGCATTGGCAATGCATGTGCTGCTGTTGAAGAATACCAAAGGCGTTTTCCTGATTGAAGGATTCCATCTCGAAGTGTATTTACGCGAATTCACCAGACAGCGTGATACTGCTTCTCTTCTGAGTGTTTTTGTGCACTCTGAAAGGGAGGATGTACGAAAGAGAAACACACAAGAAAACATTCTTGAGATCGTTCAGAGAAGTCCGCGTCTGTCCACTCGTAGAATGGCCTCTCACATTGGCGTATCACATATGCAGGTGTGGCGAACTTTACATGATGAAGAGTTGTATCCTTACCATGATCAAAGGGTACAACATCTGGAACCAGGCAGTCATGCTCAGTGTATGGATTTCTGCCACTGGATAGGATAAAAGCTCATCCCAAACTGTTAAGTGTTGTTTTATTCAGTGATGAGGCATCTTTTACCCGGGACGGTGTAAATAATTTACGAAATGTGCATACGTGGTTCCATAATAATTCACATGAGATAACGGAAACAAAATTCCAAAAGAGATTTGCTGTGAATGTGTAGTGTTGTGTGCTTGGGAACAAGTTGATTGGACCTTTTATGTTTCACAACAATTTAACTGGAAACATATATGAAGCCTTCCTGAGGAATGAGTTAGCATTCGATAAGGATAAGGAGCCAAATGTACTTCCAACATGATGGGGCTCCCCCACATTACACTCAGCACATGAGACACTACTTAGATGAATCCTTCCCTAACCGCTGATTAGGTCATGGTGGGCCTGTTGCATGGCCACCAAGGTCGCCAGAACTTACGCCTCTAGATTATTACCTCTGGGGTCACATGAAGACGTTAGTCTACGAAACTAAGGTTGTTTCACGAGAAGCACTGTGGGAACATATTTTTGCAGTGGCAGAACACATATGTCACCATCCAGGCAACATTGCTTCTGCTACCCAATCCCTCATGATGCGTGCCGAAAACTGCATTGCAGCTGGCAGAGGACACTTTAAAAAATTACTATAAAGCAGGTACTGTATTTTAGTAGTTATGTAGTCAGCCTATACCAGAATGCGCAGTCAGCCATGTTACGTTAGCACTTGCCGTTCATGTGTCATGTACAGTGCTTGGAAACCTAAGGACAACTATGACATGGCGTGCAGGTTTTTTTGTATTTCAATTTAATGGCTTCATGTCACTCACAAGTTAGTTTGATGTTACGTACATTATTAACATTACAGAAACCACATATTCCAGCCAGTTTTAATATGTATTTGGTAATCAACAAGTGTGTAACACCTGTCAAAGTCTCACACTTCTCTGGCCATTATCTCCATAACCGTTCAACATTGGACATAGGTGTTTTGGGTTATATCGGCATACTTTAACCTAAGGAACACCCTCCCGAAGTCTGGCACATTCCTCCTGGGACACCCTGTATATATTTATATATCATGGGGTGACTAGAAGTTGTTCCTCCCATGTCAGTACTTATTACTAGATCTTAATGTCATGTGTATAGGGGCTACACATAACTAATAATTGTGGATTCTGATGTCACTGTTACAATCACACTCAGTTATAACAGTTTACACACTTTCTGTCTTCTCTCGTATTATGGTTCTTTTTCCACCTTCACTTCTGAGCACCTGACTTAACTTCTGACTTCTCTTCTGAACTTGTGACTTAACTTCTGAACTGATGGTTTCTCAACTGACATACTTTTATCTGTGCTAGGCAGCTGGGATAGGAATCACCTCCTTCAAGGGTTCTGATTTTCATATCCGTAATAACAGTCTGTTTTAGAAGTTGTTATTGTGCAACCTATGATTTATTGCTGTTGTTATGAGCTGTCCACAGTGAGACAGTGAACAGTAGTAACTAAGAACTGTTGCATAGCAATGGGCGCCTATTTTTGTAATGCTTGGGAATACATTCACCCAGACGTTGGCTGGTAATGGACCCCTAGCTCTGACTCTGATACTCTGGCTTTTAGGCTGCACATCACATTATTTATAAAATCCTTTCTTATTTAATGTATATATAAAATCAGAAATTCAGGCTCTGGGATCCTGAATACATGTATTCAATATTTTGATTTACTATACAGATGCTTGTCACTATATGTGGGTTCGAAAAATGCAATTTTATACTAATTCATGGTAATTTCAAGTAATAGCGCTCACTTTAATGCAAATTGCTTGCTGGCCAGTTGACAGAGGCCAGTAGAAGGGGAGAAGATTTTTGTCTGAATGGCAAAGGAGGAATGTGAGAAGGAAGAATTATGTTCAATTTATGCAGTTTCTCTCTCTGCTGCTGCCTTTTTTTTTTTTAGATCAACTATCAGATAAGTTAAAGAATGCCTGTACCTTCACCTGAATATGAGGTCAGTTGGGCCTCACTCCAAATTCAGTTCTCTGTGTGTCTCAATACCTCAACAGGATTTATTAGTAATAATGCAGGTCTTACATATCTTGGTGTATGTATAAAGTATGTTCAGTCAGCTCAGATAATTGACAGATATTTATTAACAGCTTTCAGACAACAGAATTTTTGTTCTCAGTCTCTCTGACCTGAGGATAAAATAAACATCAAAATAAAACCATCCAGCCCACAGGTAAAAAATAATTACCATGCCTGATCTAAAGTCACTAGGACTGAATTAAAATATGCACATACAAGAGAATTATGTGTCATATTAGTCAGAATTATGTGGTGGAGGAATTATTAGCATTTCAACAATACATGAACTTTGTAGATAAATGTGAAAGTATGAGGGGTGGAACTTTAATAGTGGCAAATATTTATTTACAACTGATACAAAATAAATGCATGTTTCGAAATTTTACTGTCCTTCATTGTAGTCACCAGCATTGTGTACAACCCATTGCCAGCGATGTGGAAGTCGTAGGGTACCTTTAGCAGCGCCTGTTGTGCTGATAGTTCGAATGGAGCGGTCTGCTGCCTGAAGAATCTCTGGAGCAGTTATGAAGCAAATGCCACAAAGTGGTTTCTTCATCTTAGGAATCAAGTCAAAGTCACAAGGGCTTAAGTCCGGGGAGTATGGTGGATGGTACAGCACTTCCCAGCCCCATCAATCGAACAAATCAGCCACAGCTTACGCTGCATGCAGCCAAGCACTGTCCTGCAAAATGATGGGTGGGTTCTGCAGAAAGTGTCGCCGCTTCTTTCTCAAAGCTGGTTGCAGGTTGTGTTCCAAAAATGAACAGTAATACTGCGCATTGACGGTCTGCTGTCAGGGAAAATGGTATGTGTTAGGATAACACGATCACAGTCGTACACGAGAATCACCATAACTTTCACATTGCTGGGGTTCTGATGAACTTTTGATTTTTGTGGTGACCCGTAATGACGCCATTCGTTCGACTGGGATTTCATTTGTGGCTCATACGATTTGGCCCATATCTCATCCAGCGTAATGATATGGCATAAGAAAGCCTCTCCTTCGCGCTCATAGTGCTCCAAGTGGTTACGAGCAGCATCGTATCGTAGCCATTTCTGCATTTCCGTCAAATGATGCGGAACCCATCATGATGCAATTTTTCTCTTTCCCAGGCATTCCTTCAGAATGTGAAGCACAGTCGTATGTGCTAATCCTGTCTCTGAGGCCAGCTCGCAACTCATATGGCGTCAGTCACCCTCCAGTAACTCAGAAAGAGCATGCACTTCTTCACTGACACTAGGACGACCTGGCGGACGCATGTCTGCCACATTTTGGCGTCCCTCGTTGAAGGCTTTTACCCACCTTGACACTGTTCTGTAAGGCAATGCAGATTCCCCGCAAGCCTCTTGAAGACCTTGATGGCACTGTCGTGCTCTATGACCTCTGGCACATTCAATCTTTATCCAACTCCGCTGTTCCTGTTTCGAAAACATCGTGACAACACTACATTAGACCGCCAACTAACACGAGGCTCTGTTTTTCTCATCACTGCGCATGCACATGATGTGGGAAGGGAGAGTCCATTTGCTCTGAGGTAAGTTAGATATGTAACGTGTGGTATAAGCGACATTAGTTGGTTCCGTTGCATGGCGTCTCTACAGCAGTGTTGCGACTATTAAAGTTCCAACCCTCATGCATGTGTACAGAGTGAAGTGTGGAACAATAACTTACAAAATATAAATATTCTGTTTGAGTGTATGTTTTATGTAGGGTTTTTATAATGAATACCTTCAATTTTTATGTGTCTTTCAGGATGAAAGACATTGATCGTGCTACTAATGCCAAGTTTGCATTGGAACAAAAGCAAAGAGATGAGGCCAAGGATCGGAAGGAAAGAGGGCTTAAATGGGAAACAACGGTAATTAACAGGAAATGAGTTCTGATTCATATGTTACATATACCCGTTTTTCCTGCCAGCTGATGCTGTGACTTGCTTGCATACATCTTCCTGACATGCTTAAGTAATTAAGCACAGTGTTATCTTTACCCATACATTTTTTTTACCTTACCCATATGCAGTATAATATATCTGTTGTTGATTAGCTGTGTCAGGACTCTCTGAAGTTTAGTATCTGTATTGTTACATAGATACAAAATGGGATCAAATTTATTTCTCCATAACAACACTTACCTTCTAACCTATGTTGTCCCCATCACAGTAGTCTCCTTGGGACTTTTACAGCAAGCCCAGCAATCACACCACCATTGAAATATTTCTTGAAGTCAGTTGTTTGAAACTAGACAATTGCATCCTGCAGTTTTGCTTGAATCATCGTGATATTCAATCCCTTTCCTTTTAACGCCATCTTGAGTTCTGGGAAATGGAATAAGTCACATGGTATAAAATCTGTTGAGAAGGTAGGGTATTAAATGACAGTTGTATTGCATACATTGTCATGGCGGAGAAACCAGATCCCCAAGTATTTTTCCAGACACTGTCAAGTTTCAGTAATGCTGGTTCACAGTTTGGCCGTATGGAAGAAATTCATAATACACAACTCCATGAATGGGAAAAGTGGTGGGGGACGCTAACCAGCATTAGATGTGCTCTTCATATTTAAGCAAACTTGTCTTGCCTCTTTAGGCATGGAGGTAATGGACTCTTCCACCGAGATAATTGGTGCTTGGTTTCCGGGTCAAACCCATGTCTTATCACCTGTGATTATTTGTGGAAGTTATTGTGGGTCTCCTTTGAGCCTCGGTTGGAAATCCAGGCAAATGTTTATGCAGTTCCTTGCACTCAGCAGGCTACTCGTGAATTTAACAGCAAGGCATGTTCAGACCATCATTCCGAACACTCTGACTGACCCAAATGAAATTCCCAACATGTTAGTAATGTCACAGATTGTAATTCTTCTGTTTTTGTGGACAAGTTCTTTTACTTGATCCACATTTTCATCTCTTTTTGCTTGTTAGTGAATGTCCCACATGTTTGGCACCTGCTTTAATCTTTGAGAACCACTCAGAAATTTTGTGTTCTTCTCACCATGTGCTTTCCAAAATATATTTTCTATAGCATTTTTCTCCATTTTAATGCAGAATTTGTTGTGGACACACTGTTATTTCTATCTGTTGTTTTCTGGGAATGCAAAAATCATAAGTGGAACAACACACACTTATACTTAGCAAGACTAGTCAACAATCACATGTGCTCTGACCTTATTCAAAGGAGGAAACAACTCAGCTGACTCTATCCTATCTACACCTAGCAGTAGTGGCTTGTGCTAACAGCAGTAGTGTCATCTCATGATCAGCTCAGAAGTTATTTAAGCCTGCTGTGTATGTGAATCAGTGGTTTATCATCATCGTTGTTTCCAGTATGAGGTCTGTTGAAACCTGTTATGCCTGTCATGAACGATATAAAACAGAATCCTTATCAGAAGCCTTCCTAATCCTTTTTTCTCTTTTGTCAGTATTTTAAGTTTAAGATCCTATCAGCATGTTCTTTCCATCTTCTTTTGCTCTGTGTTCTACAGACTCTGTTACTTATATAGGTTTGCATCTGCAATTAATGAACATCAAGGCCAGTGAGGAATGCAAACTTAACAAAGAAAACAGTGTGATTTGTAGTATGCCTTTCCACTTCTGTTTCAGAAGACCGTATAACACTTCAGTGTTCAGTGTGCTGGCAGGAAAAAAAGAGCAGTGTTCCTCAGAAAATGATTAAGAGAGTCACAGTATTTTCAGTTTTCAAAAGCAGACCTTGAGGTCCAATAGGATAACCATCACATAAATGGGGAACTTGCAATTTCTGATGTTATGAAGGAACTAATGTGCCCCCAAGAAATATATCTGGCATTTCATTCATTTGAATGGGAACGAATGTCTTGCTTAAACCTGATAACACTCTGGTTTCATAAATTTATGTATTCTTGTTTCTTCTATCTGATCTGATGATATAAGGAAGAGGTGTTAACATGGAAAGCCTGGATGACTGTTTTAGGTCAGCTGATTGAGGTCACTCAAAAGTAGGAAAATATTCATCCTGTTGTTTCTTTTCTATGACACTGGGGAAAGGCACTGAAATAAAAGACAATCAGGAAGCGTGATAACATTATTTTTGTTGTGTAAGTTATGAATAATTTCACTATTCATAATATATGTATGATATTTCTTTTGCAGATGTTTCAAGAAGCTGGTGAGAATTGGGTTTACAAGAATCCACTGATAATGAGAATTTCACCAAAGAATAAACCAAGCAATCCACACTGATATTACATTGATACTGATTTGATATATGACATATTCTGTTACTTGTATGTTCTGACTGACTAGTCTGGTCAGTATGTCTGAGAGAATTCCCTCCAGAGATTGTTCACTGCAAGCCAGCAGTCAGATTTGTTTGTGCTATTGGTAGCACCTTTTGTCAGGGTTCACTGACTTGAATAACAGCTCTTCCAGACCTGACAAATACTGAAAAGTCATTTTCTATACCATGTTAACAGTTAAAGAAATACAAACTTGTTGTTTCAGAGATTGTGTTCTCTTCCTGAAAGACTAAGAAAGTCGTGTATGATATGTGAGAAGTATTGTACATGCAATAGTAGTAATTCATATTTGCAAGTCAAAATATGTATAATGACTCAGTATTACAATAATGTATTATGTGTAGGCAAGTGAAATACTTGAAACTGAAGTCATCTGAAAACAAGTTTATTACAGAAAAGGTCAGAATTTTACACGAATCAGCATGTATATGATCCAGATCATGAAAGAGAGTTTATAAAAACATTATAAACAGTGCTTGAGGTGGAATGAAAATAGAACCGGGATGCCATCCCGCCCCACCTCAAGCCCTGGGTATTGTACATTGCATTTACTGCCAAAGAAGTAACGGGATGCTTTTAAGCCATTTACAAAAGAACTGGGATGCCATCCCGCCCCACCTCAAGCCCTGATTATAAAAGTAACTATATAATCTACTTTCAAGATTTGTAGGATAATTCCCTGACCAAAGGGAACTCAGATGTCCATATGGTACGTTTTGTTGGACTCCCCACCATATGTTATGCCTTATTCTTATGGTATAACTGAGCAATGGGTATTGATAAAATGATCTTGCACTGTAGCAGTGGTACAGTATTCACTGTATTTACACTAATTATTACAGTTACCTAGGTATTATACTTAAATCACTTGAGTTTTCTTTTTAAAAATATTAATTTACTCTCATGGAGCATGTAAAAATTAATACTGAACATACTCGTGTAAGATCACTTGGAAACCTGCAGTTTCCCATATTGTCAAGTATTGCTAGTCATGAAATAAACAGCCCAAAACATTTACAAACTAAGAGAACGCACATGGACTGAATTTGTTATATACTGTAAGCCCCAAAGTTGTTTTGGAAATGTTGTTGGTTTTGTCAGTTGACAATAGCATGCCTTTACAGATGACACTGAAACAGAATACTTTTATAAAATTTTTAGATATGTTGCTTGACACTGAAACTGATAAAGTGATTATATTATCATATTCTGGAAGCTGCAAAATTTCCTGTTGTTTTCATTATTCTGCAAGGTTTTCTTGCTCTGTACAGGATATATTATGAAAATCTGCAGTATATTGTGAAACCCCTATGTAAGATTACTTTTAGGAGCAGTAGATCTGAACACTGAACAGAAGAGAAACTAAATGTAAGGAATATGAGAGTTGAGGTTTTCAAGGCAGTGAATATTAAGACTCAAAGTCTTCTGGGATGTGACGCCATGTAATCTGGCAGATGTTCTTAGATGTGACACCATGTAGTCTGATAGGTTTTTCAGTTCTGAAAATGGAGGCAGTGTGTACCTTGAAAACATTGCTGAATCATCTACCAGATTCCATGGCGTCACATCCCAGTACATCATAGTTTTCATTAAAGGAAATTTAATGAAGTGGTTATTGACTTACGGTCATTATAATTTAGTGTTCACTGAAGGAAACCCGTAAATCAAGGAACATTAAGTGTGGGTTCCACTGTAATAAAAATCTGCTTACCTAGTTACAGAGTAGCACAAGATTGCTTCACTTCCAGCTGATTCCATTCAACTGCACAAACTATTGCATCTAAATTTTTAGTAAAGATGGGAAAAGGTGAAGTTCCTGTGCTTAACTAATGAAGCACTATGCCATGAAGGCATATAGGGGAGTGAATATATGGATCCACGTTTTCTTGACCTTGGCGATAGTTGGAGGTGAGTGGTCAGCTTTACACCTCAGTCACTTTACTCCCCAAGGGCAAAAGCCCCAGGTACCCATTCAGTAGGAGGCAGAGTGGACCCCAGAACTGGTCTAGTTGATGTGAAAAAGATAAAACTCTTGACCCTGCCAGATTTGAACTCCAACCCCTCAAGTCATCCAGTCATCATACGAACTGTACTATGTTAGCGCACTCTAAATTTTTTATTAGTAAAATTTATATACATCTGTTATAACAGGAGTGTCTAGAAGAACCACAACAAGGACAACAAGAATCAAATCCTTCATCTTGAAATACAAATTATGTTATTCATCTGCATCTACAAAAGTCTGGAAAATAATATAAATATTTCATTCTTGACAATGTTAATGTCAAATTTACTTGTGGATTTCCATCACTTACAGCACTGCATATACAAGGTGGTTCAAATATGACTGGGACTGATTTTTTTTTTAAATCATAATTGACAAACACTTACTTGCACATGTCAGTCTTCAATGTACTACCCTCCAGAGTCAACACTTTTTTCCAACGTTCTGGAAGTATCCTGATGCCCTTTTTAAAAAAGGCTTGTGGTTGGTGGTGTATCCACTCCCAAACAGTCTGGATGACAGCATCGTCCACAAACCGCATGCCTTGCAAGTCTGATTTGAGCCTT